TCCCGCCTTTACACGATCAGGCTCCCATCTACGCTTTCGACCGCACTCGACCCACCTGTTCCATCGGCACCGTGCAAACGAACGGCAGCATTGTTTGGGAGGCCCACCGTCTTGCCGCCTCACCTTTGTCGGGACGTAGCAGCCGGGATCCGGCAGCCGCACATCATCCAGCCCAGCTGCAGCCTGTTCCAGCGCAGCATGTTGCAGCCAGGGCCGCTGCTATTCTCCGTGCGCGCCCCTCAGCCGACGAGCAACTCCTTGCACGCCTGCAGGAGGACCCAGAGACACGTCGACACCGCCAATTTCGCGAGACGTACGCACCCGCATGGCCCAGCTCAAGCGTGCTGCGCGCTCCGACCAGCTGCAGGGCCCAGCTGCCAACGACCCGCCGCCGGACACCACCAAGAGATCCAAACGCAGCGAGAAGACAAGTACGTCGTCTCGCCTGCTCAATGTCTCTTCAAACTTCTACTTAACCTTTATAGAAAGACACGCTTGAACAGCAATTATATTTTTTGGTCAACATACAACGTAGTTAATTGTTCGGCGCGCGTTTGTATACATGCAATATATATATATCTTGGAAATTCGTAGTACAATGCGAGTTAGTACCAGCGCCATTTCCTGCGCTGAAAAAAGCGCTCTTGTCCGGGCTTCGGCACGTAATCTGGGTGTGTAGTCGGATCGTGGTTATCGAGGAAGTCGATGAGTTCGGGATCGAAAAGACCATACGCGTCGGGACCGTACGTGTCGGCGGTATCCATGGGGTCAGCGGCTGCGACGGGTTCAGCGCGTTTCTCTTCAGGGGAGGTGCGTGTGATATTTTAAATATCCTGCTCGTATTCTTTCCTCCGTACTCGCGTGCCATGCACGCTGTCTCTGGCCCTTTAAGTTCCCTTGCGAATGGCACGTGGCCCACTTTCTGTGATATGCTTGTAATCTAGACTTTCTCCAGCGCGCCTCTGTTACTTAGCGGGCAAAAAGTTGTCTGCATTGACAGCAGAATAGATTCACCGCATATTTTCGCCGCAAAATTGGACTCTGTATCGCGCGCACGAAGAGCAGTGATCTTCTTGCGTTCAGTGGGCCTGCAACATGATTGACGGGGAGCTAGCTGTCATCGCGCAGCAAGCAAGGATTCTCCCTCCCCTGTACTCGTTTGTACTTCACGGTTTGTGCACACCGAGATTCCTACGCGGCATCTGCTCTCAACACTGTGCATTTTGCACGACGTCACAAACAATCGCGACCACATTCAATCTTTTCGTTTCCAGCCGCTTGATTTTTTATGCTCCACCCGCTCCCTCCTACCCCGTCCTGTCGATTCTTATCTATTCCGACTTTCCCGCCAGAACGTTGAGATGCGCGAGCCCAATTGTCATTTCTCAAACTATGCTTCTCTTGTCTCAATCCATCTCCTACCTGAGTGTAGGCACCAGATTCCACAGCCTTTTGGTGATGGGCACTGAATCCCTGTTGTAAGAATGAGTAGTTTAGACCAAATGTAAACTACTCCGAGTTAGATTCAAGAAATCCTAACTAAAAGACGTTCGTCTTGACTTCGAGTAAGATCTGCCAAATTACGGTACGTTAAGACAACGTAACGTAAAATATGTGTGCAGCGACAAGGCTTACACCACTTAGGACAGCTTCCAAATATTCAACCAAGCGTAACGTGTTAGCTGGTATGCAGGCAGTGAGTACTTACCGAGCAGTTATGCCGCGTGCCGAGCTAGTTCACTTAATTCACACAAGAGATATGGATAAACGGTTCAGATGTTAGATTCAAAGAGAGGGAATACAGGAAGTACTACAGCTATATATATACTATGTTTCTGAGTCATAACTTTATGACTCCGAGCCCCGACTCAAGTCATCGAGTCAAGTTGAACATCTGACTCACAACGGTTACCGAAGTTGAACATCACATGCTGTCAGTTCAATGAGAGAAATCAACATATCGTCAAGTGCACATAATTCGTAAGTAATTGTAAGTCGTGATAATCATAAGTCGTGAGGAGGGAGTGTGTTTGAGTATAGAAGGAAGTAACCATAACAATCCCGAGGGTAGGGTGGAAAAGCCTTGCGGGTTCAAATATCCACGCTGGTAACTCTCATCAAGCAACGGCTTGACTGACCGCGCGATTTCTACGGCTCCCTCCGGGTTGGTTTCTTATTTAGCCTTCTCTTTACGATAACGGCGCAAATGCAACTGCGGGATTCGACATACGAGAAGGAGCAGCAGCGGATCAAGACTTCCGATGCCGATGAAAGACGAATGAAACATGGCCCTGAGGGCCGTTCGAACTGATTTTCTTTCCAGGTCAAGGAAGAAAAAGGATTGAATTCTAATCTACAGCACGTCGCCGGAGTCCATCGACCTGTGTCCACACGTAGTTTAGGAAAATCCACCATCTATGAACAAAGAGCCAGAAGAAGGTTGTTAGTACAGAGGATCGACGATGGTCGGCGGGTGGTTGTGCACGATCGGAGAACGAATCCAGCCCATCAGATGAGGTTGAAATGGAGAGCGAGGGCGAAGGGAAGCCCCAGAAACCTCAATTGGCAGGGGTACATAAACTGCGCCTGAAACTCATAGTTTCAGGTGCAGTTTGCCTGTTGCCGAAACTAATAGTTTCGGTAACGTTTCCAGACCGCCAGGTAACTATCTTTTTCCCGTGTGATGGTAACGATGAGTCTCCAGACGGCCGCCAAATTCCAATGTGTACGAAGCCTTTTCCTTTTTTCTTTCTTTTTTTTTGATCGCTTTTGGTCCCACTACATACATATTGCTTGCGACTATCCCTCTCCGGCTGTCTGAATCACACAGTGTTTTTGTGACGAATACAATGAAACAAACTCTTACCTCAAATGGTATGCTCTGCAGCCGGAGCGTAGTACCTACTAGGCTTTCGGGCTGTGACATATCCAAAGAAACTACTGCTGGACTAATGGTGTGTATCCTTGCTGCCAGAGCGCAGCAACAGCATTTCTTGTGGTGGTAATGAATGAATCCCATTGATTGAGAGACTGGCAGTGATGCGGTGGGAACTTGAAGAAGTTCTCAGCGGTCCAAAGGTACTGGGCGCACATCCACATCCCAGAAAGAAAGGGGAGAGGATTGGAGAACTGAGATGAACCCATGCGGTTTCGCTGCTGTCTTTAAGGTACGACGGAAGCGCCAACACCGTAATTCCACCGCAGTTCAACAACTCCTGTGATCTGCGCTCGGGTACGGCGTAGCTGAACAGAATGGCACGAGGCATTCCCCAGCTCCTCAAAAGCTGTTGAAAAACTACAGCTTTCAGACGCCGAGACTATTCCAGAGCACTTCGTCGTTGAATTCAACAGCACTCTGTGTTCGGTGTTAATTTCGAGGCTGCGGAACCAAATCAATAACGTCACAGGTGCTTCGATAGACTGGTCCTCATCGCATTGCTATTGTGTTCAACTGCCCATCGCGGTTTCCCAGAGGTAAGAAACCACCAGAATTCTGGTTCACACTCCAGAAGCGGAGTAGATGAATAGCTGCTGCGCGGTTGAACAGAAAAAGACGACTGGTAGGCTGAGGGCTTGGGATGAAAAGACTGAAAGGAGGTAAGTTCTGTTGGCTTTCTTGGAAACCTCGCCATTTGCTTAAAGAAACGAGTAATGTTAGACAAGGCATGCCTGCGCCGGCAGTGGGTGAGAATTGAGAGACGCACAATGAATTTAGCATGATGAATTTAGCATGGGTATTTATGGGGGTACAATCTACAACCAAGACGGAGCCTGAGATGGAACACTTGGTCGAAAATTGGCACATAGGGCTGCACGGATCTGGAGGAGGGGCAGATGGGAAGGAACAACCACCGGAAGGGCTTCTTGATTGCTGTTCAATTTGACTCCCGGCAAGAGGCAAGAGGCATAACAATTTGATAGCTTTGAAGAATCTTATCCGTGAAGTATAAAACGGGAGCAATCGGACAGCAGCAGAAGGATCCTCCAGACAGCATTGTTGATCATCAGTAAGCAAAGGGTTTGTGGGCGTCGAAAGAATTGTGGCACCACAGGAAGAGTGAGAAACCGGAGGAGTGGCGAAGGTAAGGATGTGGCAGCTTTCCGAGGCGCATTTATATTCGTAGGTGATGCGGACGTGGCCACAGTTCGTGCTCGCTGGTATACGTGTCCGCAGCTCGGGTGCTAATCAGGCTGCGCCACAGTGAGAACTTCCAGTCTTTTTAGGTGGTTTTCAACAGCTTTACAACTGCTGTTGAGCGACAGCTTTGGTTTGAACATTGCGTACAGCATTCAAATGGAGATAGATTCAGCACAAAAAGGCTTCGTTGCAGCTCGGGAGGAGAGATTAAACCGGAAGGAGGTAGACTTTATTTGTGCAGAATCAAAGAAGATCAAAAACCAAAGAATCGAGACAGTAAAGATTAAGAGAACGAATAATGGACACTGGACACTGGTCGATTCCGACGATTTCTGCGGGTGTACCTGACAGCAAGTATAATATGGTAGATCACATCTCAAAGTTCAAGTTGATGTGGTAGTATAATTTGGCATAATCCTGAGGTATGAGGGCCGGGGGACGGCGCCGACGATGCCAAGGCCCAACCAAGACCAAAATTGACAGTGTTGATGGTATCAAAATATCCCGGCCGGTTGTTTGCCCAGCATGGATGGCCTCCGATAGATTACAGCGGCCGTGGGTAATGTAGGAGTGACTTACGGGGTGTTAAAGGGTACAAGGGCATGTTAATTCAAGTGCAAGTCAAACAAGTCAACTCACCTAAATTCAAACTCTGGCCGGTGGACAAGAATCCGGCAAGTCAATCGGGTAACCCTCTTCAACGCCCCTCCGCTCAATATCAGGCTCTAGTAGGTGATGAGGCTAGCCTGCCAGCCGGGTGTTAGCACGTTGTAGATCATTTTCAGATATCTGCGCCCGCTGTTTATTTCATCATTTGACGCACACCTCATTGCATCCCGTCCTTGGTTGTTTCTTTTCCAAAGCCTGCATGGTGTAATGGTTAACACACCTTCTTCGAATGACTCCCTCCCATCAGTTCACTTCTCCGAAGGAGCTCCTGGTTTGACTCCAGGTGCGGGCTTACGGCTCTTCAGTAACTTTTTTTTTTCCCTCACCGTGTTTTAGCCCAATCTACGCCGGGCCTGTGTAGGTCTGTGCATGTCACCTACGCAGACCTACACAGACCCTCTGTGACTGTCACCTTGGCAGACCCTGTGTAGATCTGCAGATATCATCTCACCGAGCTCAACAGAGGGTCTGTGTAGGTAAGCTAGATTACGCCTGCCTAGGTTTGTCTCTAGATTAGATCGACCTATACCGACTTCTGCTTTTCACCTTCGCATGAAAAGTGGCTCCTCGTCGCAATACCATAATTCTCATGTCTAGCAGTTCGGTTTGTCTTCCAACAGTGCTCCCGTGCTCTCCCCATTCATCCTCGAGGGTTGAAGAGTGAATACAAAGACAAACACATGTGCATCAGTTATAACATATGATTTCGAAAAGCTGTCAAGACAGAACAAGTACTTGCATGCATATCAATCGCTGCCAAAACCATCCGCATTTCTTCATGCATCCGCATCTGCACCTCAGCCTCCTCATTACCGTCAACCTGCTCAACACACCAAGCTTGGCAGACCATATAAGGGTAGAGAATACTGCCTGGGATGCGATTGTGGGTGTTCCCAAGGTCGATGCGGTGGACGCGATGTCTAGTGCGTGGTTTGGTCTGCGTTTTGGTTTCTTATCCCGTTTCTTAGCCTTGAGAATGCTATCGAGAGCCTCCTTGATTTCGATCATCTGTCAAAACTGCGTCAGTCATTTTTTTCTTTCAACGAAACAACATTGTACTTCGTTCGATTGGAATCCGGGCCGCACTCGATCCCACACGCGATCGTCAACTGTCGGTTTTTCGACTCGGACTTGACGCCTTACCTTGCAAGATCTTTGTCTTCTTCAATTTTCTAGTCGCCTTTCCACGTGCGAAATGTTTCTTGAGCGAATGCGACAAGGTCCTGGTGCGTGAAGGGAATATTTTTGTGTGGGAAACGGAACGTAGGCGATTTAGAGTCCTAAAAACAGTTAGCGGAAGAATGTGAATGTGCTCTACTGGGAAACACACCCGCTGTTCGCTCCAGATAAGGTCCGCAACAGGATCAAAGAGATCTAGACCTTGAAAGCAAGGGTTGGAACGGAGGAATTACGCGTGCAAGGCTGGTCAGAGGCTGAATCAGAGTCGTCGGCATCGGAACCAGGTGAGGGTGTTCTTCCAGTGAGAGTGATTAGTTCTGATCTGCATTTTTTCTAGAAATCATCAGTTTGAATCCAGAGGCGAGGACGCTATAACACACCATTAACGCGGTCCTATTCTCCATTTGTTGTCGGGTCAGATCCTCACTTCCTTTCAAGATGTATGGTGAAGTCTTTTGGGCCGCTTTGATATGTTCTCATTATCGTTTTCTGCTCTTAATTCCACAATCTCGCGTTCCAGGGCATCGATCCGCTCATCCATATTCCTGTCCGTCGTGTCCGTCGTAGATGAAAGCGCAGGGTCAATAACAACGTTAGAAAATGGATGCTGCGGTACTGCATTTGGTGCTAGCGTCGTGGTGCAAAGCTTGCTGGTACAGCTGAAATTGTTGGAATTGTGCGAATTGCTGGGGTGTGATAGAAATAGGATTGTTAGGTCCGGCGGTGGGTAGGAATTGCAAAGCCATTAGGGTGTGGTGGGAGGAAGGAAGAGGACGGTGCGTCACGTGTTGCTTGGCCTTGTTGCGCTGACATCTGTCAAGGTCTGTGGCGCTCGTTGATGGGTCTGCGCTAACAGCGCACACAAAGACTTCTCTGATCGCATCAGCACTTCGGTGCTTCCCCTCCTGTTCTGATATAAGCCGAGCTTCTCCAATATGTACGGCTTGCGTACGGCTGCCGGCGGCACGTCAGGGTATGTCGGGGCTTCTTGACATACCCTTTTCGGTATGGCGGGCAGAAGCGAAGCCTCGTGCCCTTCCCGACACACCGCCGTTGCTCGCTGCGCCTCGAGGTCTTTCTTGACGCCCCCTGAATCATCCGCGGACAGGGAGTTTGGGGGTCAACAATGAGTCTCGACGCGTTGCGATGCGTCTTTTCGACGCGTTTTTCGTCCTCACTTAGCTCTATACATCCTCAATGAATCCCCCTTCTCACGCAAAAGTCCCTCTGGAACGCCTTTCATTGAATGCAACTCAACGGAGCTCTATCGATCTCCTCTATGAAACAGAACACGAATTCTCCATTCGTGCAGATCCCGATAATGCGACGTCACAAAAAGAAATACACAATCTTCTCCTGAAGCATGGGCTGGACATTGGACAGAGGGAGAGATTAGAGAATAGGTGGAATGTTCAGTGGTCGGTTTCCTGGCCGGTCAAAGGTAAACGGCGCCGCAGTTTGTTGCAATGGTGTGTGGTCCATTCACTCCATGACTGAATCACATCTGACTAGTTTAGCTCCTGCGGATACAACACTGCTGCTCGCCAAGAAACCAATGATAAAAAGCCGAATGCTAAAAAGTCACCGCAAGCATCGGAGGCCTCCACCAACCGCCGTCCCTGGACTTGCCAAAATCCTTACAATTTCACCGGTTGCCTTGCCCACGTCGATATCACAGAGGGAGAGAGCGATGGTGCTGTCAGTTCCATCACCGGATGCCTCAGCCACAATGTTGAGTGCCAAAACTCCGTTCTGAAAAGACTTCCAGCGATACCTCTTCATCCCCACATCTACGAAGTTACTCTGGAGCAGCTGAAGTCGGGCGCCAGGGTTGTTTCTAACCCCTTGCGCTTTTATTATCTAGTCTTACCGTATTTCTCTTACGCCAGTGTCTCCGCAATCCAGACGAAAAATATCGAAATGATGCAAAGTAGATCTTACCGCGACATGAATACATTTGATTCCGCTCAGGCCAACTTTCGCTATCAGTATCTGCCGTCTGCATCACCAAAAGTGTTGGAACATTTGGACGGCCTCCCAAGTGCCTACAATACATCACGAGGAGCGCCAATAGTTGTATACCCCCTGTAAGGCACTTGGGAGTATGTCGCAAGTCTACAACCTGTCCCAAGGGGCTATGACAATTGACGCATCTTGTAATACCTTGTAGGTGCTTGGGAGCGTGCACTAGGGCTTGTCGCCTATTGCAGCTCTCTTGTTTCAATCTCAGGATGTTTCACATAGATTCCAGAGAATTCAATATATTATCAAGGTGGAGTACAACGTGGGCTACAACTACGGGGATACCAGTGGAAATCTGGAGAGATTGAGTCAGTGCTATTGCACTGTGTACATATTCAGGAAGACTCACGCGAAGGAAACAGATTTGATAATACACTGTGCACAAAGTTGAGTTAGTTAATCTCCCTGCTCAACGACCAGCAGACATACCTTGGGTTAATTCGTACAGCAGTTTCATCTACACACAGGAATGAGCTGCAGAAACAAGCGTAGAAGGAGAGATGTACGAACTCGATGCGAGACAAGCGGTGTTTCGATAAAGCGTGGTCTAAGTAGAGAAAGGAATAAGCCGCAGAAGTAAATGTGGAATGAATGGCGTACCGATGGGATACAGAGCAGTTTCAGGGAAGCATGCAATATACAGTAGTTTCGGCGATCTATGGGAGGGAGTAAGCAGCGGAAACAAAGCTGGAAGGAACAGCGTACTATTGGATGTGAGAGTCGTCCTGAATATAAAAGGACCGGCATTGGAATGATGACATAGAATCAAGGCGGAGGACATACATATTCTTATTAACACCTGATGATCTATATAAACTGTCAACAGCGATCTTTAATCAGATTCGAAACATACCATTAGAGTCCTTATCAATTGCTGTCAGTGTTCATGCATATAAAGAGCGGATGAGTTTGATGAAGCTGAGGGAAGTGGTCAGTTCTCGCTACATGAACAACATGTGTACGACATACCGAGTGTAATGGCTGATGTTGCACTAAGAGGAAGAGTGTGAAGACCAAGAGAAGCGGGTTAAAAAATGTAGCGCACAATATACTAGCCAGAGGCTGCAGACGACGAGGACGACGACGAGGCTGCAGCGGCAGCAGCAGCGGCAGCAGCAGCGGCGCGACGAGCTGCGCGCTGGGCGAGGATTCCAGTGGCGGCATTGGTCGGTGCAGGGCCGGCGCTGGACGCGGCGTCGACAGCTGCAGTACCGAATACCATACTAAAATTGAAATAAATCAGTGTGGTGTCGTACCCGAGTCTTTGGCTTACCGTTGATACCAGGCCAGCGTCTCTGTCGCCCACTCGTCATCAGGATCAGAGAATAACTCGAGGACAGCGTTAAAAAGGTCAGTATAGCTATAGTCGCCATCCTCAGTGGTCCAGTCGACTGGGGATAGGATGGTGCGCGCCTGCCACGATAGTTAGTACCACGCCCTAATTGAATAGTAAACTCACCTGGACGACGCCATAGGCAAGCATTTCCTTCGCTAACACCGTGTATCCGTGCCTTGCAGTTTGCGGGCAGGGCCTTGCTCCGTTGAGGGCCGATCAATGCACTAGCAGGGCCCGTCCAAAGGTGACGGAGAACCTGAAACGACTTGAGTCAAGGCTCGCGAGATATAGAATATAGCGACGCACCCGTAACACAAACAAACCGCGGAAAAGACCCTTGTCATAGTTGTCCGGGTCGTAAGTACCCTCCTCCCAGAAACAAGATGGGAAATCAGCGGCGGTGAGCTGTACCTTCCCAGCGACGATGAGATCGAGGAACCTGATCGGTTGGTCAGTAGGTATCTGGACAAATATGAACACGTACTCGTTGCGAAGGGTGGGCGTAGCTTGGGTGGGCGGAACTAGAGGATTACCGCCGTCGGACATCCTGGCCGGGCAGACGGTGTCAGTAAGTTTGTGCGAAGTAAATGTACATACTCGTCATCATCGTCGACGTCAGCCAGTGGAGCAGGAAGCCCCGGTAGAACGAGAGGGGGTAGCTTGAGCCGGTCGGTCCAACCAAGGAGATAGTACCTGATGATTGGGTGCGTTAGGCCACGGTCAGACTTGCTCTGCTCCTGGGAGAGTGCGGGGAG